TTTTATGGACAGCGTGTGCATTGTTTGTTGGTTAATCTACACGGTTAAAAAGAATCGGAAATTTATGCACCGCATGTCCAACCCTTCGCACGCGACTAGAACAGGTATGGCCAGTGTCGTGATAATTTTATATATGGATTGGTCTAACGAAGTTGTGTTGGAATGTATATTATTGTATAAATTACCCAAATTTATTAAAATTTTTACCGCCAACACTGATAGTGTACAACAGACAACAGACAGTCAACAAAATTAATGACCTACAATACTACATTTAAGATTACAATAGATACTCAAAGTGCCCTCCATTGTTATCCATGGAGGATAACATGTGTTATTATGACCATTTAAATTTTCAATTTCCGCGCGAACTTTTGCCGTGATAGTGTATTTGAATCAAAATACACCTTTTCTTGTAAAAACCCCCATAAAAAGCTATCACATGGTGTTAAGTCGGGACATGGTGACTATTTGGTGGCCATGTAATGGTACCCTTATTGCCGATCCACACATTAAATTGATTTGAATGCTCTTGAACGGCTACGACATTATGTGGCGGTGCTCCATCTTGTTGCCATGTCATACTATTTAATTGATTTTGTGTATAATTTTGATTTAATAACTCATCCACTTCTGCAATGACTGTGTCCAAATATGATTCCCCAGTGAATTTATAATCATAAAACAATGTTCCAAATATTTGTTTAGCAATATTCCGCTCCACAAATTTATTGATTTTCTTCCTGACTTTTTTATTTGCTTAATTTTTCTTTTTCTATTATTTTTCTGTTCCCACGAATGTCTTCTATTAAAAATGCATGAAGTTGAAAAATTTGATTCATCTGTCCATAAAATGTTATAAAAATAATTAGGATCATTGTTCAAATTTGTAAGCATGTCTTGACAGAACAGTAAACACTTTCTCTTGTGAACATCGGTAAGTTTTTGTACCGGTAATATTTTGTGCGGCTTATAGTTGTGCTGTTTTAAAACTCCATGTATCTTCGCACGGCTTTTCTCTAATGCATTAGTAGTATTGTTTAGACTAGTTTCGGAATTGTCTAAAATAAAAATGTTATTATGGATTTAATCTATTATTTAAGTATTTAATTTATTTTACCTTCAAAGTAAAGCAAAGTATTAAGATCTTAATCATTATTTCCTACGATAGTACGTTTCTTCCGTTCAAACATTTTTTTATTTATGACATGACGATAATTATATAAAAATGTATTTGCAGAACGATTCTGTCTATGTGGATAAATCAGCCTATATTCCCTTCTTATCGCTTGCTTGTTTTTATTATTTTTTACATAAATTGAGAATATATCTACTTTTTCATCTGCAGTATAACCCATTTCCGTATGAGGACTGACAGTTTATAATAAATTAATAATTGTTTCATTTTGAAATGTCAGTTGCATAGCCACCTATGGTTACCCTTTTGTAGTATCATATGCCATTATAGAACAAAACTAATGCTACAAAATGTTATATATTGGTAATCAGGAAGTGCAGGGCTACTCAAAACTGTAAAAAAATACAGGGTGTCCCATTTGAAATATTGAAGATGCATTTTATTGCGCACTCCCTATATACGAAATTTGGTATGTTGCTACATTGTTGGTCGGTACAGATAAAATAATACAACTTTTATTTGAAACTTTTTTTTTGTATTCCCGAAATTACGGAAAATAAGTGGGAGTCAAAATATAATGAGAAACCCGGTACGTCGAGTGTATTTATCAAAAAGCAAGTATATTTACTAATTTCACAGTAACGTGGAGTGCTAACCGTTGTCTCTTGTCTGATCGTTAATATCTATTTTCTGTTTCTCTTTGCCGACGTAAACCAGCGAAGACTACCATTTCACGAGCTGATTGCGGTTTTACAAATCGGTTCAGGCAAGTAACTATTTAAGCACATAAACATCCGATTTACTTTTATTACCGTCTATCAAAAATAAAGGGCTAACGTTTTATGAAATTCGACGGGGCGGTTGATGCATTTGAAATCTGTTTTACTTTGTCCAGTAAAATAAAGCTTCATAAATATTATTCAAATGTATTCAAACGCGTAAGAAGTGTTCATTTTGGGAAAACGATAAATTATTTTCCATTAGAAACATATATTTTAAAGCGAAGCTTCTATACTGACGTTAAATTACATTTTTCTCTATAGTAAAATGCTGAGGTTAGCGTCACGGAACTAGCACTACGAGAATGCGTCACGGTAGCGTTGCGAAATAGCGATTCTTAGTTTATGTAGGTGGCCAAAAAATGACATCACAATAATAGCAGGAGACTTTAATGCCAAAGTCGGAAGAGAGAATATATATTCGCCCACCATCGGAAAAGATAGCTTACACGTAGACTCTAATGATAACGGTCTCAGAATCATAAACTGTGCGATGTCTAAGAACATGGTAATAGCTGGCACATGATTTCCCCATAAAGATATACATAAGGGAACTTGGAAATCTCCTAATAATCAAACTATTAACCAAATAGATCATATAATCATCGATGCAAGACACTGCTTTAACTTATTAGATGTTAGGTCTTTTAGAGGAGCAAACATAAATAGTTATCGTTATCTAGTTGAAGCACGATTTAAAGAGAGAATATCCAATTTAAAAAAGGAGGTCGGGAAAAGGAGAGAAAAAATCGACATTAGTAAACTAAAAGATCCCGACATTCAAATGTATACAGACAGCAAATAGAAGATCAAATAAGGACAAAAAACTTAGAAGAAAAAGAAGATATTAACATACAATGGGCAAATATACGAGATATTTTGTTACAGAAATCCGTTGAAATATTGGGCAAAACCAAGTCAGAAAATTGAAATTATTGGCTTGATCATGAGTGCGAAATGGCTACAAAAAGAAAGAACGTAGCATATCAAAAAACCATTGACGCGGGTTGTACACGGAGAAAAAAAGAAGAGTATAGACGTCTTCAAAGAGAGGAAAAATGTATCCGTCGACGTAAGAAAAGGGCATGCGAACAGAACACTCTCAGTGAGATACAAAGTTTATTCCATAAAAATGAAACGAGGAAATACTATAAATCCTTAAATACTAGCCGTCGAGAATTTAAACTACGATTAAAAATTTGTAAAGACACTAATGGTGAAATTCTACTTGATAAAAACTCAGTTCTTAACAGATGGGCACAACATTTCAGCGAACATCTAAATATAAACGATATTGACGGAGGTTACAACATAGAAAATCAACAAAATCTATAACGTTAACTACACAGTGAAGACCCAACAAGAGAAAAAGTGTCAAATGCAATCCTAAAACTCAAAGACAATAAAGCTCCAGGAATCGATGAAATCTGTTCGGAAATGTATAAAAAAGGTGGTGATCAACTTTTTGCAGCAATCCATAAACTAATAGTACTTCTATGGCAGAATGAATGGGTACCAGAAGAGTGGCTGAAGGGAATAATATGGCTGCATAAAAAGGGTGATCAACTGGAGTGTAAGAACTATAGAGGCATTACTCTGGTAGCATCTGCGTATAAAATCTCCGGTAAAGTATTATTTGAAAGACTTAAAAATTTTACAAAGAATATTGTTGGTTAATATCAATGCGGATTTACTGCTGGAAAGTCAACTTTAAGTTCAAGCACATAAGAAGATTCTAGAGAAGTCACTAGAATATAACATAGATACACACCATCTCTTCATTGACTTCAAAGCAGCCTATGGCAGTGTGAAAAGTACTGCATTATATAATGCAATGATAAACTTTGGAATCCCACCAAAGTTAGCTAAGTTGATCAAACAATGCAAAACGTAAGCTCATGCGTTAAAATTGAAGGAGAAAACTCTACGTTCTTTGACATTAATAATAATCTAAGACAGCGGGACGCGTTGGCCTGTCTCCTCTTTAATATTAACTTGGAAAAGGCAAACAGACAAGTAAATATTAGCATGAATAGAACTATTTTTAATAGATCGACACAAATTATCGCATTCGCTGACGATACCTATAGTTATAGTAGGCAGAAATACGAGATTTTGGTGCAGTGTTTTACAAGGCTTACGGACGCAGCAAGTGAATTATGACTCGTGGTAAACGAGGAAAACCAAATACATGTTGGTTTCTTAAAACCCTCGAAATATCCAACAGGGAATTCAAATTAACAACCATACCTTTGAGCAAGTCAAGGAATTTACGTATCTTGGATCGCTAGTAAACGCAACAAACACGACAGGCGACGAAATAGAAAGATTTTTGGGGCCGTAAATAAAAATGAGCTATGGCGTCGAAGATACAACTTTCAACTTCATCAGTTATACACCGATCCAGATACTGTGAAATTCGTTAAAGTGCAGAGACTTAGATGGGCTGGACGCATTGCTAGGATGTGAGATCACGAATACACGAAGAGATTAACATTTTCAAAACTAGAGGGCACAAGAAGCAGAGGACGACCATGAATGAGATGGATTGATGATGTGGAAGAAGACCTGTAGATTCTAAGGGTTATAAGATGAAGGGAAGTTGCCAGGAATGGACAGGAGTGGCGACTTCTTTGTGAGCAGGTCAAGATTCACAACTGATTGTCAAGCTACTTATGATGAAAATGATGATAGGTAGCGTTTGGAGCACACATAATAATTTATTGAATTATTTTAATATAACATAATTTGTTTAAAATATAAATAAATGCTACAATTACTTTATTCAATTTTAAAAATATTATTTAAATTTCAAAAATACAGAAAACAGTATGAAGCTTAACGCTAGTCTACTGTACCGCCTACTGTACCATCTTCTTTTTATTTATTCATCAGTGCCAAAGTTTATTATATATTATACACTTTATATAATACACTTTCTACTTTGATCTTCGTCAATGGTGTTCCAATTATATCTCCCAATATACTCATATTCCGCGTATTATTTTCTACTATAAAATATTATTGTTACTTCATTTGTAATAAAGCTAGATTGCTTATTATTATTATATTTTTTGTTTTAGTATGTATCCAGTGCCAATCAATAAATGACCTAGATGCTGACAAAATAAAAAGTAAAATAGAAAAAGGTCTAGGAGATTTAAATATAGACATTCCAGATGTAGACTTAAATTCTACGAATATGCCTAACGCCGAGGATATAGAAAAAGTGTTAAGAGAAAAATGTGAAAAAAATGGAGCAGCTGACGCAGTAGATTTGATTAAGGTAAACCACATTATATTTCTGATTTAATATAAGTCGACGAGACAGTACGAGTATATTCTATATACACTAAACGATATAGAAATCCGAACACCCAATATAAAATTAGTATATTTTGAAAATATTTGTTACAATTATACAGGTTAGCAAAATAAACAAAGGATCAAAATTTCAATATAATTAAAATAACCAACAGGAGTAAATCAATTAATAATGTGTTGATGCACCTTGGTGAGCAACACACTCCTGAATACGCCTGGGTTCGCTTCTGATTAGGTGGTCAATATCCTTCTCGTTCTCGTTCCATGCCCTAATATTAACTCCTCTCGAAGTCCTTCCAAAGTTTGAGGAGGATACTCTAAATTAAGAAGTCTCCGACTCATCATGTGCGACACGTGTTTAATTGAGGATAGATCTCGGGAGCCAGGGTAAAAGATTTACTCTATACCGTTCAAAGAAGTCTATGATGACTCTCGCAATTTGTGGCTTTGCGTTATCCTGCAAACAATTGGAAGGAGTTCCAGTATTTCTTCTACCTGATTCTGTCATAATGCATTCTTAAACAGAATCGAGATTCCTAGAGACAACCCCATTCTAGTCCTGGTCCTTAACTTATCGTTATCTGCACCATCCAAGACGATTAGGTCGATGTTCAGGGGTAAGATGCCCGAAATGAAAAAGGCCAAAATTGCAAATTAGACGATAAATTGTTCGCATCCTAATTGGCCTTCCATGTTATGCAAGTTATTGATTTGCAATAGACCTGATAGTGGACTGTACTTACAGTCATTAACTGATATTGACGATCTTGACGCTCCGCTGATCTGTGCCCCTCGATCTTCGTGTTCGGCTTTTCCGAATTTCCCGAAAATTAAGTCCGACTTCTCTTCATACTTCATACATTGTAAACGTTTTTCAAAAAATCAAGTAAACAAAGTTCAAATTGTTAGTGGGTAGCAAATGTATAAAGAAAAATGAATAAAAAACAAAAAAATAAAACTAATGTAGCTAAAATTTTAATCATTTATTGTTTTTGCCAAGATAAGCGTGTATACCAAGAAGAAGAATGAAGAAATAAATTATTCAGAATCTACATATTTTATTTAGCTTGGGTCGACCAGCTTTGACCACTCCAATTTTCTGGTTATCTTCAGGTCTTCGGGCAAGTTAAATCAAAATGATGCCGGTTTACGGACTGATTTTAAAAAGGCGTGTACAGAACACTCATTTATGCTATAGTATTATCTATTGGTCTTCAACTTTTTACAGATCGAAATATGTGGGCATCCTTTTTAACAACAGTCTTTTGGACAGGGGAGCCTTTTTAACGGAAATTCTTGCTCCGGCATCATTTTAATTTAACTTGTTCGGAAACCTAAGGATGGCCAGAAAAATGTAATGGTCGAAACCGATCGTCCTAAGATAAATAAAATTGATTGTAAGTCTCAAATTCATTTTTACAAACCTGTTTAAAATAAACTAATTTATCGTGGTTGTTCGGATTTCTATTCCTATTCGAAAAAACACAAACAAGTATCTAAATAAATATTGTATGACAACAAAAAAATAGTTGTAACTTCAACATAATATTGTTGACTTAAAATCTCTAGTGTGGGAACTATTACACTTTTCCAGATTCTAGCTTGGCTTTTCAGACATGTAGAAAGAATGAGTCATTGTGCGACAGAAATAGACAATGGAAACTTTGTGGAATGTAAATGAAAACTCCGTCTAATAGTTATTTGTGATACATTTTTAGATAATGGTTAATTTTTGCATAATAATTGAGTTAAAAGAAAGCATTTGCTAAGTCTCTCCAAATACCCTGTTCTACGTTAACTTTATTATTCTCCGTATCACTCTAGTTTTCATCCAAATTTATAATTAAGTTTATAATAAATAAAATACCTTCAATACAAAGATTGCTGCATTTTTGATAAATACATAAAATCATATTTTAGTGCATATTTCAACTGTTTTTGTGCCTATTTGTATGCATATTTTAGAATTTTTTTAAGTGCATATTTTCCGAGCTCTAATAATAACTCTCCACTCAATCACTGTATTTAATTACCTGGTTAAAATGAAAATTACCGTTTTCTTTTTGGCGACACAAAATTAAAATTAGTGTTTTCATTCTGGCGACGGATTCTACAATTTTAGCTCAAACCAACTCGATGGGATTCAGGTTTGGGTGATAAAGACACACACTAGCAATTAGTCATATAGGCGAGGAAATGAAGCGCTAAAAAGTACTAAAGTTTGAGTATAAAATTCGTCGTGGTAAAATGAAAATTACATTTTGTGTAATGCATTTTTAAAGTTCATAAAAAAAAATGAAATAAATTTTGTTACCCGGGGATATTTGAAGCTGTTGAATACAAATATTATAACAACGACGGTCCTCAAGCTACCTGGTGCCCAGGATGGACCTCGTCTCCTGATGGTAATTGTCAAGGTCACACATTCGGAATCAGTCGAAAGTCATTACTTAGGGGGTTTTGGCGCTGTTGAACACGAATATTATTCGTGTTCGAAAATCGTAAATAAGAAATTACAGAAAACTTCAGGAGACGAGGGTATACGCTAAACATCAAATATCTTGGAGATCACCACCATCTAATATTCGTAATTAGCAATCCCAAAAACCCCCGACTAATGACTTTTGACTAATTTCGAACAAAAATAACACTCCAGATTACTAGGTCCACACTGGGATCTAGGTAGCTCGAGGATCATTGCTGTCAGAATATTCGTGTTCATCCACCTCGAAAACTCCAAGTAATAACTTTTGACTTATTTAGAATGAAAATAACATAAAATTTCACAAGAGGAGGTTCACTCTGTGCACCAGGTAGCTCGAGGATTATTCTGTCATAATATTCATGTTCAGCGACCTCTAAAACTTTCCAAGTAATGATCTTAGATTGATATCGAATGAAAATAACATAAAACTCCAGGAAACGAGGTCCACAGCTCGAGTAATACCATCGTCGTTATTATATTCGTGTTCAGCGAGCTAGAAGACCCTGAATTAGAAAATTAAACTCATTCCTGTCGAGAGTTTCTCAGTTGCAAATTTTTAATTTTCTATACACTTTTGAAATACATTTTTCTTATACACAAAATGCAATTTTCATTTTACCACAATAAATTTTGTTCACAAACTTTTCTGACACTTTTCCGAATTGAATGCAAAATGTTTCACAGCGATGCATCTTTCTGTGGAAAATTGGTAGGTATACTGCTTCGTTTACTCGCCTTTTGTATTATATATCTTTTTCTGTTATATTTCATGTATTTTTATTAGGTTAGTGCTGTAAAATACGTGAAAAGCTACCCTTCATCCTACTAAATAATCCTGTATATTTCATTTTATTCTGATCTCACTCCTTATTCGGTCTCTCAGTGTATGTTGTATAATTCCAATTTCTACTGTTTCCAGCATCATCTGTGCTTTGGCTGTGTTGGGCCTTGTTTCTGATGTGTACGTCATTATTGGTTTTTTACTTGCCTTGTAGATTCTTGATTTCATCTCAATTTTAATGTGTCGATTGCGCGATTAAGGAAGCCTGCTAATCTATTTGTCCTTTGTACTTGATCTCTTACTTCTTTTGTAACGTCTTTATAGCTGAACATTGTAATCCCTAGGTACTTTATTTCCGATATTACGGAAAAGAATCTTATTGATTCTTTACATACTACTATTGTTCTAAATTTTCCGAGTTGAAATCGTCATGTTAAATTCTTTTTTTCTTATGTTAAATTCTGGTGTTTGTTGTTCCAACGTCATTGGTTATTCCTCTTTATGTAGTTTCTTTAAATAGTTAATCCGTGCATCCTTTTCGATGTGTTTCGAATATATTTCTTCACTTCAGCTCTTTGATCTCTTATAAAGCCCCATATTTTTTTGTAAACCATAAAAATAGTACTCAAGTTCGTTTGAGAAGCGTTCCCAGTGTTCCTTTTAGTTCTTCTTACAAGTGCGTGCGTTTTATTTATTATTATCTTATAATCGTCGTATGCTTGGTGTTTGTTATTTGACATATACTTCACGTAAGCTTTTTTCCCTTACTGTTGTGGTTTTTCTCTTTTCCAACATTATAGATGGGAGGCCAATGTCTACCATGAGCTAGCAGGTGGCTGAAGTAATTATATTGGAGTTGTGTTCTTCTCCAGGTAGAAACATTTATTCAAGTTGACGTTGAAGTTAAATTTGCAGACTTTAAGTACTTTATTTTAATGCTTTGACAATTCAAATACAGTAGAGTACAATATTTATTTAAAAATAATTTGTATAATTCTGATTTTTAAAAAAATTAAGGCAAATATCGAGCACAATTCTTGCCCAAGTCCTTTCGCTTTATGCAGCATCATCAGGGGCATCTGAAATAAGCCAAGAAACGTTTTTTAAAATGAAGAAAATTAATTAACTAATAAATTAATTAATTAATAAAAAACTCGAAGTTAATTAATGATAAAAGTTTTTGTGATTAACGTTTTAGACTTGTACGTAACACTCATGTTCAATTTCATGTTTATTACATTCTGCGCTTGCTGGATAGCCCAAATTTGACGAAGTCTAAAACGTTAATCACAAAAAACTTTTATCATCCATTAACTTCGAGTTTTTTTATCAAAGTTAATTAATTTTCTTCATTTAAAAAAAACGTTTCTTGGCTTATTTCAGATGCCACTGATGATGCTGTAGAAAGCGAAAGTACTTGGGCAAGAATAACAACAGAATAAAAATAGAAAAACAAATATACTTAACCACAAATGTGAAAAAAACACGTGCCATGTGTGCTGAAGAAATGTAGATGTTCAATGTTGAAATTTTGGTAATCGGGTAAAATTTCCTTGCGCATTCGGTTAGTTTCGGCTCGAAAGGAATGCGTATGAACTTAACGCCCCAGCCCGTTACGTTAGGTAATACGTATCTAGATACGTTAGTTCAACCATTAATGCGCATGCTTATATCTCAAAAAGATACGTTACGTATA